ATTCTGACAGCCAAGCAGCACTCAAAGCACTTGACAACCACCAGATCAATTCAAAATTGGTCTGGGATTGCCACCAAACACTCATGGAACTGGCCAAACATAACAGGGTACAACTGACATGGGTGCCGGGGCATGAGGGTATTGCTGGAAATGAAGCAGCAGACCAATTACCTAAAATTGGAGCTGAACATCCATTCATAGGACCTGAACCAGCCTGTGGCATCTCTCTAGAAGTTGCCAAACAGGCAATCAGGGACTGGACTAACATAAAACATAAGAAATACTGGGAATCCTTAACTGGACTCAGGCAAGCTAAGGGACTCATACGAGGACCTTCTGATAAAAGAGCGAAGGAACTGTTGAAGCTCAACAGGAACCAGCTACGATGGGTGACAGGACTACTTACAGGACACTATCACCTCAAAGGACACCTATTCAAACTGGGACTAAGTGATAGTCCCACTTGTGAGAGGTGTCAGAAAATGAAACAGCCACACATGTCCTGTGTGAATGTGAGGCTTTAGCTTCTTTAAGACTATGTCACTTTGGTCAGTACTTTATGGAACCAAGTGACTATTTTGACGCCCCCACATCCAAAATCCTGTGCTTCATCCGAAGCGTGGGGTTGCTGAGGGAATAATTAAAAAAGGGGAAGCACAATGGACCACTGAGGTCTAAGTGCAAGGGCCGAGTAGGCCTACCCCTTCATTCATATATATATATATATATTTTCTATACAATACTGTCTGTTATACTTAAAAAATAAGATATTCATAAAACTGTACAAATTTCAGTCATAGATAAAGGGAGATGTTCTTTCTAAACTTACTGCTTGTCTATCTTGCATAGTTCACTGATGTACATATCGTGTGTGCATACATCTCCCATTTCTTGAAAACAGATACAATATTTAAGAAACGTATTTATTTAGAGGAAATGGTCAGGACACCTCACGGGGATAGGTGTAAATCATACTTTGGAGAGTATACTCGTAAGGTAGTTTATAAATGCAGAAAGAATTAGTTTGCTGTGCTCAATGAACATGATATTCTTTTACTTGTGCAACAGTCAGCATTGAATGCATTCTTTATGGTTATCCATTTCTAGCATGTGTCAACACTAACATGTACTATTTTCCTTGTTTAAAAGTTTTCTGACATTCTGCTTTGCTGTGTTCAGATGCTGTATAGGGAATGAAACGAATAACTTAACTGTTAAAACTACTGATGATGAAGTTTGCCTCATCTCCTTTAACATCTAGAATTTCAGCCAACTTCTGAGCTCCAGCTCCATACATCATAGCATATACAATTCGTTTTGTCTTCTCACGATCCTCAGCTGTGATTACTGCACTTCCCCTGTTCAGCCTACAAGAAAGCCAGAAGATTTACACTCTCAACATTGCTCCATTTTTCCATGATTAATAAAGAATATATTGTCTTCTTGCAAATACAAATCTATTTTTGACATAGCTGATCAGCATTGCAGGTATTACACTGCACAGATCTCTTAATGAGATCAATACTATCATGTATGATGAACTATTTGTGATTGACAGACGTTATAGCCAACCAATATGAGAAAGATTAAAATGTTACTTCCCTCTTTCAGTGTCGGTGACCTTATACTACATTTAATCAGAATCTATTATACAATTTGGTTATGACTTGTTTCCATCTGGAAACAAGACGAGGAGCATAACAGGAATGAATACATACATATGCGCTAGGGGAACCATATGTCAGGAAACAAGCATCAATGCTGAAAGACAGGTGATAGGGTGTCATTTTCTGTCCAATTCAATATAACTTCCGTCTAAGATTTTTCTAAATTTAAGGTCCCCAACACAAACTTTGGCTGGGGATTTCATTGTAAATTGTGTATATCAGAGGTGTTCATTTCACCAATCCCCTAACCTACCAGATTCAATGATAATGGGAGTTATAACAAAATCCTGTGAGTTTATACTTACCACATTTGGGCCAAGTTTACAAAGATATCATTGGGCTTATGAAAAAGCTGAATCAAGGCCACATCTTTAGCCAAATGTGCAAATATTCGAAACTCAATGTGCTGAAAATCGGCTGCTAAAAGTACGTGCCCAGGCCTTGGAATGAACGGAGATCGTAGTAGTATGGATCCTATATGAAAGAAGAAAAGAACTGAAATCCATATAATGAGTGTGGCTTTAACGACAACAACCACTGAAGATGAGTATTTAATACATTATTTTATTTTTCTTATCTGAGGAGAAATAATAATAATTACAGCCACAATTTTATCAATGTAACAACATTATCATGAGATATAATGAAGACCAAGGTAAAAAGATCCCCTTTAGAATGTTAAGTTCATTCAAAATGATCTGATAGAGGTCTAAACGTAAGCTCAGAAGTAGAATTAATTCTTCTTGCACTCAAGATAAACTGAATGGTCCAATGGGCCCTTAGTGGAGACACGCAACAACCACCTTACAAGTTATGTTTTTTAAGTTAATGAGGACAAAGGACAAATTTCCAACCACACAACACAGTCCTCTCACTTCATTTGCAGTTTCCTTCACACTGACTCATTCATGTCTTTACTATCACATTTTCCCTTCTTAACACACCTTAATTCCACTTCCCTAACAGACTTCCACCAAGAGAGTCCTAGATTCCATGTTCCATCAGATGTGGGCTCAAGTTGTTCAGTCTACTGCCTTTGTACCAACAAAGCTTGAAGGATGTGGAAAATGGGAGACTGTAATATGTTCACATGAAGTTGTAGGTCATCAACCCATGGTAGCATCATCCTTTTATTGTGTGACAAAATCTGTCTCATATGCTTAAGTGTGCAGGCAGAAGGCATGAATGTTGATAATCTGAAGGGATTAACCAACTGAGAATACTGAAATTCCTCATGTGCATTTCCATAGTAACCCATCTGTACTTTTTCCAAGTCTGAATGTCACACAACTACTACAAGTCAACAATTTCAAGAGTGTTGCATTACTTACTTTGTTCATCTGTCTGACCAGCTATTGAAATGGGCTGTTTTGGAACAGACTGTAGGTTGGGATTACTAGATGTCAAGCGACCTGTAGCACATGCTGTCTGTTCCCTGGATTGCAAGGTAAGTATCATTAACAGAGGTCTCTGTTCTTAACACAAAAACACATTACAATTACAAAACACAACAAAAAATTTCACTCCTTTCAGTATTCCCTTAACTGAAAATTTTCAGTTAACTACTCTGCCATTGATAACAAAGAAGATAACTTCTCCCCTGAATACAGAGGCAGCATGTTTCTGGAAGCCCTTGTTAACTATATACAAGAATATACTGTTCATAATCAAGAAGACAACAATTTAAATTTTCACTGCGATGAAAATCTCAAATCTCACATAAAGAAGTCAGCTAACACAAAATTACATATACTTGCATATTAACCAAAGGGTGAGACTGTCAGCTACATTGATTGTGAGACACTGACTGAATGATGCAGAGAAGGGTGATTTGCAGAGCACATGAGAGGGCTTCAAGGCAGCTCAGTTTGTTTTTCACATATTTCTCAGAATCATAATCAATGTGTATTTCCAAGAACAGTAACAGCAAATGCATTACTCTACAAAAAGAGATAATAGAATGGCATAAAGCAATTCTGATTGTACACAATTTTTAAACATTCACTACATTGTTTGGGAGATGAAACATATGGAGGGGCCAGTATCCCCATTATGCAGCTACTTCATGAAGCCAATGCAAGTAAGGCAAATTTTTCCTTGCACTTAACTAATTAAGCACTATGCCATGAAGATGTATGGGGGAGTGGATGTATAGAACCATGTTTCTTGACTTCAACACTAGATGGAGGTGAGTGGTCAGATTTATACACCAACCACTTTACCTTCGGGGAAAGAGCTCTGTTTACCCAGTGGACAGCACGATGGGTGGGCCCCAGAGCTCGTCTGGAAGTTATGGAGAAAAAAAAATCTTGCTCCTGTTAGGAATCAAACCTTGGCTATCCAGCCTGTAGACCCTTGCTATACCAACTGAGCTATCCTGGCTCCATAGCTGATGCACGAAAATTGTAAACTGAAATGCACTTACCAGGTTGTGAAGATATAATCTCCTTTGGTGTGCTGTAACATCCCTGCTACATATGTGGAGTTCAGTTTGTGTAAGTGCCTATATTCCAGCACAATTCCTGGGAGGGGATGAAATGGCTGGAGTAATTTTAGCTGCCAGTAGTTAAAATACAGATTTATAAAACAAACAAATAGATTGAAAAAAAAAACATATATAAATATATATATATATATATAAAAGATTAATTCTTGTGAGTGTGTCACACCAACCTACCTCTGATCACTGCAAACTGTCAATGAGTGATATATTCTATTACAAGCTTTCAGCAACACAACTTTTTCTGCAGGCATTATATTCTCAGTTCATTCACTGGTTCATTATCTTGTCAATATTTGGAGGGGGGGGGGTCCATAATAATATGTTAAGAGACAAAATAGTTATTGCTGTATTTCAATATGACTAGTTTAGGGGATTGTGCTGGGATTGTATGCAGATGGTGGGTGGGTTTTCATTTAATGATGATTTCAGTAGCCAGACTGTACAGCACTCAATGGATGAATGCTGACTTGGGAACAATTTTGAAGGGAGCAGTTATGCCCTACTTCAGATACTAACTGGACATTTGCCTGGAGGGACTGAGGAAAGCCTCAAGAAACATCAGTCAGGATAGCCAATGTCCTCACCACGATTTGGACTAGCACCTCCTGAAATATAAGTCAAGACTGTTACTACTATGCCAGCCTGTTTGGTATGTGCATATGACCATCATAATCAAATCCTGGCAGTCACATTTTTATTGCTGTAAATGAAATATGTTAAAGGTTATTGTTATTGGCATTATTACCTTTTTGGGAATAACTTAGTATTTACATACAGATTTCATTTATGTAAATGCTGGATATAACCTCAATGTTTTGCACCATCACCATAGTTTTAGTTAATCGGCATGCGGTAGCATAGTTGGTTGAGGCACTATGCCACAAGCCAGCAGGTCACTGGTTGAAGTACCGATGAGGACTTTGGAGTTTTTCAATTTACCTAATCCTTCTTGCTGCACTATGGCCATTGGCTCGACTCAGCCTCTAACAGAAATGAGTACCAGGAATATTTTTGGAATACTCTTAGGGGTAAAGAGTGGTTGGTGCCTAGGGCTGACAACCTTGCCGCCACCTATGAGCCGACTGTCAATAAAATGTGGGAACCTCAACATCTCACAACCCTACGGCCTCCGTGGCCTGTTACAGGGATACCTTTACTTTTTTTCTTACATTTACTTATTAATAATATCTCATAAATAATATGCTGATATGTTTAAGATCTATGTCCATAGCTAATTTCACACACCTAGACTGAATGATTCATTAGTTAGCACCACTAAACTGAAAACTCAATACATAGTTCATTAAACTGGCATTTCACTGTTTTACATCCTACAGAAAAAACTGCCTCAACAAAAGCTGTGTATCTTCCAAAATCATGATACTACAGTAGTGCTGCCCACACCTCATAAGTTCTTGCAAGAGTCATGTTGAAGAAAGCAGTCTTCTGGGATTTGGCACCGTGTATATGTGGTGTTAACCGACGTTTCGGAGGAACGTATCGGCTCCATCTTCAGGGTAGAAGAAAAAATATAAGAAATCTGCAAAGCGAAGAGACCGTGAGAACTGGTAAAAGCAGACTGTGTGGAAATATATACAGCTATGTGAGAGCAGAGAGGGAAGGGGGGAAGGGCAAGTATACAAGTGAAAGCAGTAGTGCGGGAGGGGTAGGGGAAGGGAGCTGGGACAAGCGTGTTTTTGTGTAGGGGAGAGAAAGGCAAGGTTAAAGCTGGGCACTAATCCGTAAGCTGAGGGGGGTGGGGGAGGTTGTTATGTTGGTTGGTCATGGCCTGTGTGGCCTTCTGGATCTGGCGTCATATCCGGGTGGGGGTTTTCTAAGAGAAGAGATGAGAGGTTTCCAAGACTT